GTGTGGATAAACACATACATTCCATAAGACATAAACACAACTTTTGGGATGATTTGATATGGATTTGATATGGATTTCATATGGATTGACATACATCTGGGTAAAGCCATTTGGGGATGATTTCCCTTAACCATGATTCCACTGAGGTCGCAGTGAAGTCGGTATAATTGATCCAAATACATACAAACACATATATATATGTGTGTGTGTACATATGGATGAATACAATGGTTAAAAATGTGGTTAACAATATGGTTAATAATATGGTTAATCATGTGGTTAATAATATGTTTGATGATATGGTTGATAATATAGTTAATAATATGGTTAAACGGATATAGTTAATATGGTTATATGATTACATATATATATATACATATGTGTATATATATATATATGTGTGTGTGTGCATACATATAGGATCACATAGGTATGATTGCATATGCAATGATAACATGTAATGTGGGCAGAACTTATTGCATTGTATATACACTGGTTGCAATGTTATGATATATTGCATTTGATATACATGTAAGAATGTGTTGAACCATAATATGGATTCCTATATGTATGTGGTTGATAGTATGGTAAAACATATTGTACTATCTTTTAAGATGGTGAAATACATGTGGTTCTGTGACTACATAAGAAATTGGCTATATGATACCATATATGCTATATGGTGTATCAAAATGGTATAAGTATATGAATATGGTAAAATATATGATTTATGATGAAATACATGGTTGTTTTTGTGGCCAACCGGCCAACTAGAACCAAGGACGGCCTTGAGATGCCAGTCAAGTCACCTTGATGGACAGAAGGGCCTCAGAAGACTGATGGTGGGCTCGGCTAATCGTCGTTTTTCTTTCAAGAGTGTCAAATGCAGATTCCCGCCAACAGTTGATTTTCATGAATTCTTCCAGTTCCAGCACACCTGCCATTCACCTGTCAGTTTACCCAGGAATCCAAGTTGTTTACTGGTCAAATATGTTAAAATCATATAAAATCCATGTTATTTTCTGGTTAAACGGTTAAATCCCATGATTCCTGGTACAATCCCATGAAATCAGCTCCGAAACCCAGCGATTTCGCCTTTCCCAGGGAGATCTTCTCCTTTTGCATCAGAAATGCCGCCACCACGGCCACACTGCAGGAGCGGCCCGGGTGCAGTGCACCAACACCTGCCAGCTCGGAATCTCGAAACTGAAACCAGTCAACCAAACGAATAAACTTGTTATCATATCAATCAAAGCCAAAAAAAATAATTATTCATATTATATCACATTATATGAATTAAAAAAACATATACTTAGGATGGGTGTATCATCTGAATATAATAAGTAATACTGAATAGAAAAAGGGCTCCAAAAATGCTATCTTCATGTCTTTTACTCGGGATACTGATGATTGATCCATGGATGGAAATTATATAATCCAATCAGTTGGTAGGATTCTTAAGCATGATGGTCCCCCGTATATAAAGTTTTTTTAACAACGCCACCCCCACTTCTGCAGCTGTCCTGGTGTATTTCTTCACCAGCCGAATGCCATAAGCCCCAAACTTCTCAAGCACCTTGGTGGTTTTTTTTTCCACATGGGTATGGTGTAACCATTATTAACCAATACCTATAATATATTTTTTTTTTGTTACCCCGGGGGTGACCCTTTCTACCAACGATGTAAGCACCCCCAGGGCTCCCAACCCAGCCGATGAAAACTTCCAGCAATCCAACGCTCCCGGCAATGCTGAGATGCCCCTGCTGCCACAACCTCCAGCTGTCGGCCCACCTGCGCAACGGCGCTAAACAGACAGAGAGAGAGAGAGAGAGAGAAAGAGATATAAAGAAAACGAGAGTGAGTGGTGCATTTACCTCCGTCGTAGGAAAACCATAGGGAACCCATGCGAAACCATGGGAAAACCAGGGGAAAACCATGAGAATTATCATAGTTGATATCACCAAACCGATGATCGTCAACCATAATCATGATGATGGGAGTAAATTGCTAATACCACCAGTAAAATCCCATTTTTATACCATTATTACAACATTGTCGCAATGGTATAGCAATGGGATATCAACGATAATAGGGTAATGGGATAGTAAATATATGGTTGGTATATGGTATATAGTTTATAATAAATAGTATATAATGGGATAGAGTGTATCAAAGGTATATATAAGATATCGTGTAAACATGGCATGGGTAAACATGGTGAGTGCTCATGGAAATTCATAGGGATTGAGGTACAGCTATAACGAAACATGGAGATGTACTGGGAATGAAACATATTCGTCTACTTTCTGGAAATTTGTTACAAAGTTATCATGGAGTACGCCATTTTGCAGAACTGGGAACCTTCTGACATTGATAGATCTTAAACCTTCACACCCCATGAAATAAACACTGACAGCTCAGCATAAAAGGTTCTACCCTGTGTGAACGCAAAGGGTGCGAATAAGGCTGCTTATTCGCGCCCTCGACAGCCTTCATTTTCTGCGCTCATTTCGTAAAATCTTCGATCGCGAAGCATTTCCCTAGACGGTATCTTTTAGTATCATGGTTGATATCCCCTAACCGATCGTCATAAACTATAAGCACGATGATGATGGTGGTAGTACCTGGCGAACCATCGTGATAATAGTAATGATGGAATCATGGGATTATATACCACCGATAATATGATACTCGGCCTCTGGGATAGTGCCATGATATAACATTAAACACATGTTTATTTTCTGGTGTATAGTCTCTATATATCATGGGATAATGGAATTATACATAGTAAAACAATAATGAGTATATATGACTGTCTGATAAATACATAGTCATTAAAATGGGAGTATCATATAATGGGGATGATAATGGGGATCATGTTCTTATCTGGTGGTTTATATTTAGAAACCATACATATATTAGCACATATATATATGTGTATATATATATGCAGGTCATCATGATTTCTTATTGTTATATAAAGGGGGTGCTAGCATTGGGATTACCACATCTATCATAGATAGTATGTGTATATATATATTGTATTATATATCATTTAATCTGTATATATTACATTTCTGAAATATTAGTCGTCATGGTGGTCATAAAACGCTTGGCAGACGTTGAGTAATGCCCTTGACCAGCTTAAGTAAGAATAGTCCTCCGCTGAGCACAGTATTTTTCTGCTGTGTTTGGGTTTGTGCTTGATTATCTCTCTTGACTATGGTCAACAAAGCTACGTTCAATCCTTTCAAGAGATCAATTTCCAAGTTCTAGAAACTCGTTCATAGCCCCTGTCAGTCCGCAGGTTTCCCCAGTGCCAAGCCCCAAGCCATTTGTTCATTTTCCATGATGGTCCGCTTGGTCGTGGAATCCAACTGGTCCTCATGGCAGCTGGTGATCATAGTGCAATATGTGTGTATATATATATATATAGATTAGATCTATTCATGTTGGGTCCAAAATGTGTTATATATATATATGTATATATATGTATATATATATAAGATCTATTCTGATTTGGGTCCAACAGTTCATTTTTTGCGCTTGTTTTTTCCGGCCCAACTTTATGGTGCGACACGGCGACTATCGAAGCTCCTTGGTTCTCGCTCGAAGCTTCGCTGCCTCAATCTCCACCTTCTTCTCAAAGTCCTGACGTTCTGCGAAAATCAACACCGATAATGTGGGGTAAAACATGGTACCCTCTGGTTATTTACCATAGCCATGGAAAATGGCCCATTTATAGATGGTTTACCTATTAAAAATTGTGATTTTCCATGGCATGTTAAATAACCAAAGGGTAAAACATGGTAAAACAATGAAAGCAATGCCATAAACCATCCATGCCTGGGAATGGTAAACATACCACCTATAAATATGGTGATTTGGGAGATGGTTTATGATTCTTTTACCCACATTAGATTAATTCGTATTAGATTGCATTTCTGAACATGCCAACTTTCACATTAATGTATGAATTGGATTGAATTGGTTGAAACATGCATTTATATAATCGTGTTTATGAACATGATTTGTTTAGCAGTATTATGTGTTTTCCAAGATAAAGGGGTGTATTTTTTTGAAGGTTTCCCTTCAATTCCTACACCGACATTCCTACAACAATGGGAATCCACGAGGTGAAATCGTACTTGAGAAATCCCCAAACCACTTGTGAAATCAGCCAGACCTTGCTGAGCGTTCGCATATCCATGGCTTTCTTTCGGTCAAAGTCGCTCATCTTTCGTTGAAATTCCTGCAATGTGAGCAGAACTGCTGCAAGATTGGTGGAACTAATATGTTGGCAACGCAAAGTATTTTTTTGCAAAACTAGCCATTTTTCTAAAATGGCCACTGTTGTGTCAACTTCAGGGCGTTTTTCGATTACCAGTTCAATCCCAGTATCATGGCCAGCCTTAGCTACATATATGTATATATGTATATATATATATCTATACATGTATATATATATAAATATGTATGTATATATGATATTTTATGATATAGTTATATTAATCAACGGTTTTCCGCAAAAAAAAACAACTCATGTGCTCAGATAATGAAAATCAAGATATTCCCCATGGCGCCTCTTTCATGTCGGCCAACTGAAGCCTCCCACCACAAAGGCTTCTTAAAATGTCTTACAGACAAAGACGTAAATCGTCGCGAAACGGCGAAATCATCTGTGATCATCTGTGACTTTACCATTTCCAGGACCAACAGGCGAAATCTACCAAACCTCGCAAAAGTGGTCCAAAATGTCAAGTTCTGAGCCTCACGCGCCACAGAAGAGATCCTTCGCCGATCTTCCGATGCGTGCAGCTGAGGAAGGCTCTCAGTTCCTGCAATGTCACAACTCTCGGCACCGCAACAGAACCAATCAGCTAGTTGCAGCTACAAGTAGTTGGTTGCCTAGACTTCTGCTCGCAACAGCTGGTGGAACAAATGCTGGCTGCGTCCTTCACAGAAGCTTCTGTGTAGCACCCAGCAGGGACTTTGAATTCAATGTGATCCATGGCCGGACAAAAAGCGCAAACAACCCTCGCTATTGCGGGTGAAATTTGTCCCAGTGTGCTTGTGCTGCTACTTCTCACACTATCGATCCAAAAGCTGCAAAAGCATGGCACCAGACAGCCTTGATTCGGCAACCAAGCAAGATTGAACCACTGATATAATTATGTTTCTACTCTGGCTTTGTCATGTCAGCCCCTTAGCAGAATTGCACCCATGTATACATAATCAACGCACACCTAACTTTGCAGTGTATAACCATACATATATATATGTATAGATATATATATATATCTTTATATATGCGTGTGTGTGTGTGTGCTTCAGGGCCATGGAGAAGCTGATCGCAGGCTCAGCCCAGGGGTCGGCGGCAGGGGGCGGAGCCCCTTAATTATAATTATATATAATTATACAATGACCAGCCATTCAACTGACCCATCAGCATCACCACCGCACACCACGCCGCGCACCGTGCGTGCTCTGCGCCCTGCCACATCTTCCGGCTTGTTGGCCGCTAAGGCCAGACCTACCAAGTCGCAGCCGGGAAATGGTCGAATCCCCCAATCGAATGGGAATAGCTGGAGTCGTTTCGGAAAACATGATATATTATGATATGAGGAAAGAGATTGCAAACCCTATTGGAAAAACTAATATCAAGGTTGATCATAAGCATTCATAAGCTCTTGGTTAAAACCTATTGGAACCATTTGTTCGAATCCGACAGAGCCAATCCATAAACCTCCAATAGTATGTTTCATGGATTAAACACCCGGAATATAAAACATCATTTAAACATATATATATTATATATATACATATAATATATATAATATATATAATATATATATATTATATATATAAAAGGTAGTAATAATGATTACCGTACCCGCGATTGCAATATATAAGAACCAACAATATACCGAACAATCGTAGTATAACCCCCGAACACCAAAAAAAACATCAACATACATTCACCATCATTCACTGGGTTTTTTGACTCAATTGATGTTGACAAGCAGAGTTTTGGTGACCACCTGCTCCATCCATGGAATATTCACCAACCCCCTTCTATCTGGGGCAAATCTATTTAAAGGTAAAGTTAGGTATATAACTATATTGGCAGGGCAATATGGTGTGTTTGTATATACACATACACACACACACTTATTATTACTATTATCATGATTATCAATATTTATTATTATTATCATTATTATTTTATATTGCATACATAATATGTATATACCATGCATGGATCCTTTGGGGCACAGCCATAGCCTCGGTATGTCAACACTTTTGGGCAAGAAATACACAGGTGTTCGGTTCGATCAATACCCTACATATCCTACATCATTCTCATTGAAAAGACCCTATTATAAGCACATCTACCCACCGACATCTTGGAGATTGTGTAGCCTCGAAAGTTCACGAAATCTTGGATTGCCGTCATCACAGCCTGGCAGTGGTTCACATGTGTCTTGGTGGAAACATGTGATCAATCGCAAGAATCTTGGTAAATCGATCATCGTCCCAGGTAAGAAAAATCAAAGATGTTTCAAACATGTTTGATTTGAAACGTTTTGAAACAGCACAGGAACAGTGACCAAGAAGGAAAATGGTGATTGCAAGATATTGCAAGAGCTTCGCGGCTGGCAACTCACAGCGACGCGCCTGACAAACCATTCAAAACCACAACCATCCCCGATGACTTACCAGATCTTACCAGACATAGGTGGTAAAAACATGTAAAAAGCGTACATGCCACCATCACCAACATCCTGCGACAGGACCATCACCAACATCCTGCGACAGGACCCATGCCTCTTGCATGGTGTGATTATAAAAGCGCATGAAAGGCTTGTGTAGCACCTGCAAAAAAACGGAACGGAGGGGGTGTTTGATGCATCATCTCATCTCATTTTTATGCCCTGCAGTTGTGGCCACAACAAGCTGTATGTAGCATGTCTGAACCAGAGTCACTCTATGCGATAGAAATAGCTTCATGCTGAATGCTATGGAAGAAATGACCACCCAACACACCCAGCCCCACCAAAACATGGGGGTTGCTGATGAATGCTCTGGCCAAGTGAATCTGCATCTGGTCAGTGGAGGTCAAACTGCTGATCCACGAGTCATCATCTTCCTATCAACAGCCGGCTGAAAAATGATCAATGGATGGCTACGAAAATCTACAAGAAACCTTTGTTTCTACAAACAGTATATAGATGTATATAGTATATAGATTACGAACAATGAAGTTCATGAAAGGCACAAAGAACAAGAACACTGAACGAAAAAAATGCAGAAAAGAACCAAAAAAAAACAAGTCAACGAGTCAACAACAATGCCAACCACAACGACAACGACAACAACGAGAAAAAGAGCAAGCAAACCAAAATGGAAAAAAAATTGCCAAAACTCACCCGAGTGAGGATAATGAATTACCTGCTATGAATCGCAAGGAAATTACATGAAATTACAATACCCTAGGAGACTGCAAGGAGACTGCAAGTGCAACAGCGACTCTGTGCCACGCTGCAAGCCGAGAGTCTTTGTTCAGGTTTTCCCAGTCCTGGCATGTGAAATGCAGAATCGCACCTTCCAAGCTTCGGATATCTTGGGATGATTCCTAGGTCCTATTCACTCTCAAGAGCCCAAATAAGTTTGCAGAATCAGTTTTGCAGTGCAGAGCAACCTTGCAAACAACTCTTCTGCATGTAAACAGACACCCGCATTGCAAACGAATGCCCGTTACTGCCCTCTAGATAATTTTCCTCATGCAGAAAGCATGACATGCCTGTGTACTAAAGCTGCATGCTATACTTGTGTCGTTTCTTGCAGGTCTTACCCACCCACAAGATAATCCTGCGTGAAATGTCCTGGTCCAAACGGCGCATAAGCTTGTCTGAAAACTTCAATTTTTCACAAATGTTTTTGACCCGCTCATAGCTTGCCTTGGTCTTGCAATGTGAAAAATAATCCACGCACACGTGCTCAGAACCAGCATTGCGAATTCTGATGTGGAATGCATCGTACGTGCAAAAACACTTCAGTTAAACCTGACAGGAAAGGGTGACCAGAGCCGAAATCCCGTACGAAGGCAATCTTTCTACGTCCATACTAGATGCAACAGTTTCATCTGAACCAAATCGTGATCTTCCATTTGTTCGACATGCCGGTTCTGGGCTTAGCCGGTTGCCATTGACGACAAAAAGGAAATAGAAAATTGCAGGTACGTTTTCCTGATCATCCAGTGTGGAGCTTCGTTGGCAGAGGCCACATCTGGAGATCCCTCTGCCCCCTGCTGAAATTGATGCTCTGGGAAGATACTAACAACAGCAGAATAAGAAAACCACGAGCGTTCCGTGTTGAAAATGAGACTCAGAGAAATTCAAGAAACTGCGGAATAAGAAACCACGAGTGTTAGAAGTTTTACATCTCTTCAGATGTTTCACACACACACACCCCGCTGCCGCGAGGCCATTTTGTGCAACAGAATCACGAGGTGTCGAGCTGCTCTTATACGTTCCCTGAGGCTGGATGTTTCAATGAAATCAAAATGCAGGGAAAGAAATGCAAATGAATTGGCCGGAATGCTCAGTACCGGATAGGCCGGTTGTTTCCAGAGGGTGTCACCAGTATCGACTGAAGTGCTGCCTCCGGCATCACAGAGAGGCTTGCATCACATGCTGGAACTAGTCATCGATCTCCGAAAGGTCTTCCATCTCTAAGTTCTGGGCATGTTGGGCAAGAGTCTGCGATGTGGCTGCCAAGTGGCTGGCAAGGTGCGCCAAATCTCCCGCCGAGAACACCTGAATACTGAGTGGCTGAGTGACTGAGTGACTGAGTAACTGAGTGGCTGAGTGGCTGATTGGCTGATTGACTGAGTGGCGGCTGAATGGCTGAGTGGCTGACTGACTGAGTGGTTGAGTGACTGAGTGACTGAGTGGCTGGGTGGCTGAGTGACTGAGTGGCTGAATGGCTGCTGAGTGACTGAGTGGCTGAGGAGTGGCTGAGTGGCTGAATGGCTGAGTGGCTGAGTGGCTGAGTGGCTGAGTGGCTGAGTGGCTGACTTGCTGAGTGGCTGAATGGCTGAGTGGCTGAGTGGCTGGGTGGCTGAGTGACTGAGTGGCTGAGTAAGTGAGTGAATGACTGAGTGGCTGAGTGGCTGAGTGGCTGAGTGGCTGAATGGCTGAGTGGCTGAGTGACTGAGTGACTGAGTGTAAATGGCTGACTGGCTGAGTAGTGGGTGAGTGGTTGAGTGGCGGAGTGGCTGAGTGGCTGAGTGGCTGAGTGGCTGAGTGGCTGAGTTGCTGAGTGGCTGAATGGCTGAGTGGCTGGGTGGCTGGGTGGCTGAGTGACTGAGTGGCTGAATGACTGAGTGGCTGAGTGGCTGAGTGGCTGAGTGGTTGAGTAGCTGAGTAGCTGAATGGCTGAGTGGCTGAGTGACTGAGTGACTGAGTGGCTTAGTGACTGAATGGCTGAGGAGGGTGAAGATTGTGGTGGGATTGACGATCTTGAGGTTTCTCCACCACGGCCCCCACGGCCGCTAGGCTTGCTGCGAAGGACGTCTTCATTTGTTGCAGCATCTTATCAGGATTAAATGGTGCAGGAAGAGCTGGTGGACTTGGTGTGGCCACCTGCGGAATCGGTGGTTCAGGTGTAGTTGGCAACGGTGTTGCTGGTGGTGTTTGCACTGAAGATGGAGTAGTAGTCGGTTGTTGTTGGGCTTGGTGATGAGGAAGAAGTTGTTGGAAGTGATTGATGTGAGTCTGAGATTGATGGTGGAGTTGTTGGTTCAACAGCGCATTCTGCTGTTGAAGTGCCGTAATTTGTGCCTGAACCTGAACTTGGGACTGTTGGTATGATGGATCACTTCCACAAAACTGTCCTGGAGGTACTGCTGGTTAAGGCGGTGATGCGGTGAAGGGGCTGGTGCGGACCAGCCGGGCCGCTAGGCTTGCTTCGAAGGTTGTTTTCATTTGTTGCAACATCTCATCAGGATTAAATCGCACTAGGAGTCGGTAGACTTGGTGTGGCTGGTGGTGTTTGCACTGGAGGTGGAGTAGGTGTCGGTTGTTGTTGAACTTGATGGTGCGGAAGAAGTTGTCGGAGATGGTTGATGTGAGTCTGGGATTGGTTGTGAAGTTGTTCAATCTACATGCATCTCACCCATCACCCTGCGGTAATCAAACATGGTGTGCTGGACAATTTCTCATGGATAGAAAATGTTCCGATCAAAAATGCCATGTGTGATTAGCGTCAACGCAGAGGTCGAATTTCAGATCAAAAGCGATCTATTTGTTATTGGTGGTTCAACAACGCATTCTGTGGTTGAAGAGCTGAGATCTGCGCCTGAGTCTGAGCTTGAGACTGCTGGTTCATCGGATCACCTCCACAAATTGACCTTGAAGTCCCATGGTCTGAAGATTCCATCCAAAGTTCCACATCGATCCAGGGACGTTTGGGAAGCGTCCCGGGAGCATGGCGTAGGTGTCAGGTTGAGTAGAATGAAACAACAAATTCACAACAAAAGATGCATCCACATGAACGTGCAGATTCCCCTTGTTAGGCTCAACGGCCCAGATTCAAGTCAACCCTATGGACGGCTTAAGTTGTCAACCCCTGAATTACGTGGACACTTGAACCTCACCAACGACCAAAAAGAAAAAAGCACCATACCTGCAAGCATGTCCTTTTGCCTGATCATGTGAGCATGCCTAACATGTGGTCAGTCTCTTGAGCAGCACTGAAAAAAGGAAGTGATGCTGTCGCAGCTTCCAGCTATGCAGAGCAAAGTGAACGGCGAAAAAAGGTGAAGCCCTGTACTGCGGCCAGTTGTTCAACAAATCGACATCGACAGGTGAGACCAGGAGAAATGGCCAGCTGTTTCACTTTACTCAAACGAATTACTAATTTAAAAGTGTAAATTCAGACATCAGGTCATTGCATCCACACTTTGCTTAGACAAGCATTCCCCGAAGGGTTCATGCCACCTTGACGAATCCAGCATGAATCACACACTTGCTCCGAACCAGCATTGCGAATTCTGATGTGGAATGCATCGTACGTGCAAAAACACTTCAGTTAAACCTGACAGGAAATATTTGGTGACCAGAGGCGAAAACCCGTACGAAGGTAATCTTTCTACGTCCATACTAGATGCAACAGTTTCATCTGAACCAAATCGTGATCTTCCATTTGTTCGACATGCCGGTTCTGGGCTTAGCCGGTTGCCATTGGCGACAAAAAGGAAATAGAAAATTGCAGGTACGTTTTCCTGATCATCCAGTGTGGAGCTTCGTTGGCAGAGGCCACATCTGGAGATCCCTCTTCCCCCTGCTGAAATTGATGCTCTGGGAAGATACTAACAACAGCAGAATAAGAAAACCACGAGCGTTCCGTGTTGAAAATGAGACTCAGAGAAATTCAAGAAACTACGGAATAAGAAACCACGAGTGTTAGAAGTTTTACATCTCTTCAGATGTTTCACGCACACACAGAGAAAAAAGCACTTTGTTTTCTCACTCCCGATGGTAGGAGGTTTCATGCCTGAATTTTTGCAATTCTGGTCACTGCATGATACTGTACCCCTTTAGGACTTCATCACCAACTCAACAGCCAAGATGCTAAAGACAAGTCATCATCTCCAACTCCAAAGATCAGATTTCTCTTGAGGCTTTCTGGAAGGAAACTGGGTGTATCTTCCACCTGCACGTGTCGCAAAGGCCGCAAAGGAATTTCAACTGCGTCAGTGTCGCATCACCCAATTATCAGATCGATGAATCACAACTATGTAATTTGGCACACACAAAAGAACACAAACCCGAATTCAAATGAAGGTCTATTATTATGTCTATTTAAAACCCCCAAGAAAATGGCTTACAACAAACATCAACAAACAAAATGGACCAGACCAGCCTGCAAGACTTGCAGGTGGGGTGGAATGAAGACATGGCCAGCCGTGGGTTTCAATTTGCCCGCGATGATCTGCAAAACGGTGGACTTCCCCTGAGCAGTGGCGGTTAGGATCTCCCGGTTGATGTTTTTTTCTGTGGATAGGCTCTTGTTCCTCTGAATATTTTGATATACTAGACTACACTAGATACTAGACTAGATGGACAAAAGAATCCAACCTTCAACTGCACTTCATGGTAACCCCCTATCCCCAAAAATCTCAATGTTTCAGCATGCACTACCAAGCGCGTTGTGGTCGGGGTTTGATTTCTTTCGTCCATTGGGGCCAATGCACCTCAGCTGACGATAAGATTGAACTTTGGGGGCAGGGTTTGAACATTTCGTCCATCTATGGTAATTAGTATTTATGATTACAGATACTGTATATGATGATATGTCATTCTATAATTCATGATACATGAAGATCTTTCAGGAAATAAATGCCACGATATCATAAGACATTTATTTATGTATTGATATTGATATGAAGAATGAAATCTGTAAGAAATTCCCTTCGCTGATTTGTTGGAACCCCATGATGGGGTCGTCTAAGGCGACGATCCGTCCACGAAAAAAATCACAGACCGGGCCTGTCGTTCTCCGCCTCGGAAGATCGGGTGCAACAAAGGGTCGATGCGGTCGATGGGGGCCCGGCAGATGATGCTGTCATGGATTCCCAGGATCTTCTATATCATTGTACATTGTAGATCTTTTCTGAGACCCACAATATCTTTGAGGGGCTGACATGGGCTGACCAGTTGTGGAAATACAACTGTAAACAGGCACTCGATGTCACTGTCCGAGTGCTGCTTCTCAAGAATTGACAATCAATACTTATCAGCAACTGCGTGTCTGTATTCGTGCATGTACATACGTATTGTCTATCAAATCGAACCAAATCATGATCTGTAGGAACACCAGGTTTGGAGTATCCTATCTTGAAACCTGCTTCTATCGCTTGTCAAGCGGCTGGCAATGGTGATGATTTTACCTCCCAGGCCGTGTGATGGGCAGATTATGGTCATCCAACGGTTCAAATGATGGAAGCGCGCTTCCATTGAGTTCTTGGACATGGAAAGCAACATCTTTGAAACTACCCAGGTGATGCCAGGTGATGACTCAGCAGATTTCTTTGGTAGGCTGCATCTTTGGGCAGCATAAGGTGCAACAATGTGTACAGAATCAAAGGTGGGCTCAGAATGATATCTCAAAATCCACCGCTTTGCTTCTCAGTATTTTATGCAGTCAGTTGTATGCCCTGCGATGCCCTGCGTATGTTCTGAGTTGCTCGCCTTGCTTCAGTTCCAGACTCACCTGGTCAAGGATTTTGATCTCCTTCGAGCCCTCATTCAAGACCTGATGCAAAATCATCATTCCGGTCATAAAAGATCATGGAAGCAAAAAAAATGCAGAGACATGCGGATTCTAAAAGGATTTGACCATCTAAATTTGGGGGATGTATTGGGTAACCAAACAAAATCAAACAAACAACGATGAACGGTGGCTCTTCAGCCAAGGCACATAGGTCAAATTTGAAAGCTGAATATCCAGCAAATCATCCACCATCTGGTACAGGTTTTGTGCATCCTTGGAAGCTGCGAAAAGGGAGATACATGGGAGATACTAAGCATTACTAAGCGTACTAAGGGACTGAACTTATGGATCTTATGGCAATTCCTGGCACCAGGACAGCGAGGACAGCGAGGACAGCGACCTGTGCACCGAGCTTCTCCAATGAGACGACCCAAATCTTTGGTCTTCCCTTAGTTCTTGGGGCACCAGAATGATCAGAATGTTGCTAACTTACTGTGTAAATCATGCACAAACGTGGGCCCTTAAAGGTCTGGAAGGATCTGGAAGGTAGACATTACTCAATTATCGCGCATGATTTTTTGACATCATCATCAATGCTAGCCTGCCATTCGTGGAAAGATTTTGATGCCATGGTGGCAAACGAAAGTGTGACTGGTGTAGAAGGGAGATTCATTCATTGTAGATACAGCAATTTCTTTGGGGACATGGATCAAAAACCACGGGCAAAAGGAAAGGACCAAGCAAATCTGGTAATGCCTGGTATCCGTTGGACCCTCAAGTTTTTTCACCTACTAGACACACATATGAAGAACATGCTTTAACTTACATCTTGTAGTAAACCCAATGATAAACGCATGGTTCATAGACAGCTATAGACAATAGTGACTATAACTATCGACAATGTACAATTACACAATTACAACAGGTTTTTCTCACCCCCAAATGGCCAAAATCATGGTAATGCTGTTTAAAACTATCATGGCCTCTGTGGCCTGATTTCGTCCAGTCACCGGGTTCTTGGAGTTCTTTCAGTTTCTTCCGGCGCATCTCTCCACCAATCTGCAGACGTCGCCGGCTGTCTGCCATTCGATCCGAATCATCCTCGGCGGTTAGAAGCGCCGCTGAAAACAGCTGCAGCGCAATGGCACCGGCAAGACTGGCTATAAGACCACCTCAAGAAGCATGGACCTCTTATATAATTTATATAGTGTTATCGAAGGAAGTTTAGAAGTCAAACTTCCGACAATAATATGGGCAGATGAAAAGCAGAGATGGGAAGAGTCAGAGAGAAGAGAAGAGTAGAAGAGAGAAGATCAGAGAAGAGAAAGAATCAGAAGAAAGAAGATGCAGATGCGCGAAAAGGTAGGAAAGTCGCGAAACACTCTGTTTTTCCAATGATTTGTGGCTCCGGAGGGTCGAAAAGTAGGCTCGCTAAAGCGGCGGGTGCGGAGCCAGCTGGCCAGATGAGAGATGAAAAATTGCACGCCGTTGTGGCGAGAAGCGCATTTGCAAGTGAAAAAGCTAAAAGCACCTCACGTTCGGAGCACTTTTGGAAGTTGCGATGTCGAAAAAAATGCACGCCGTTGTGGCGAGAAGCACATTTGCAAGTGAAAAAGCTACAAACACCTCACGTTCGGAGCACTTTTGGAAGTTGAGATGCACGCCGTTGTGGCGAGAAGCACATTTGCAAGTGAAAAAGCTACAAACACCTCTGAGATGTCGAAAAAGTGCGCCCCGTTGTGGCGCGAAGCACATTTCGAAGTCAAAATGCGAACCACACCACATGTTCGCGCCACTATTGGACGTTGAGATGTCGTTTCGCGTGGCAGGTGCAAGGGATTGCGCACCTTGTCAAAAGTGAGCAAAACGTGAGGGTTTTGTACCATTTCCAAAAACGATGGCAGGCGTGGAACATTTGAAGAAGATCTGCAAAGATGCATTTTCCGTAACAGGTGCACTACAAGAGACATGTTCATCAGAGCTGTTAGGAGGTCCGGGCGCTGATTTCCTGAGAGGGGTTACATTTTGGAGCCTCAGATCTTCAAGTTTGCTGAGATGATTTTGCGTGACAGGTGCAGCACTTCGCTTGACCTGGCATCACTTTTTCGTGGCAGGCGCAATACTTTAGACAGGTGGACTTTAAAAAAATTGCAAAACGCATTGGTACGAGGCCGTCAGCTCTGCACTCAACTGTCCATTTTTGAAGGAAGTCTCGCAGAATTCTTTCGTTTTTGATGTTGTCAACTTCGAAAAATGAGGAAGTCTCGCAGAATTGCTTCAATTTGACGTTGTCAACTTCGAAAAATGAGGAAGTCTCGCAGAATTGCTTCGTTTTTGACGTTGTCAATTTCGAAAATGAGGAAGTCTCGCAGAATTGCTTCGTTTTTGACGTTGTCAATTTCGAAAATCGAGGAAGTCTTGGAGAATTGCTTCGTTTTTGACCTTAACAAGTTCAAACATCGAGGACGTCTTGGAGAATTGCTTCGTTTTCGATGTTGTCAAGTTCAAACAATGAGGAAGTCTCGCAGAATTGCTCCGTTGTCAAGTTCAAAACGTGAGGACGTCTCGCAGAATAGCTTCGTTTTCGAGCTTGCAGATAGAAAGGAAGGTAGATAGATTGGTAGATAGATAGATAGGTAGGTAGATAGACAGACAGACAGACAGATAGATAGATAGACAGATAGATAGATAGGTAGATGGGGGTATAGATAGATACATAGTTAGATAGATAGATAGATAGACAGACAGATAGATAGATAGATAGACAGATAGATAGGTAGATGGATAGATAGATAGGTAGGGATGGATGGATAGATAGATAGATAGACAGATAGCTAGATAGATAGGTAGATAGATAGATAGATAGGTAGGTAGCTAGGTAGATAGATAGATAGATAAAGAGATAGACAGACAGACAGACAGACAGACAGCCAGCCAGCCAGCCAGGCAGGCAGGCAGGCAGACAGACAGACAGACAGGCAGAGGGAGAGAGAGAGAGAGAGAGAGAGAGAAAGCAATAGATAGAATGGATGGATGGATGGATAGATAGATAGATAGTTAGATAGATACATTAGATAGATTAGATAGATTAGATAGATTAGATAGATTAGATAGATCAGATAGATCAGATAGATCAGATCGATCAGATCGATCAGATCGATCAGATCGATCAGATCGATCAGATCGATCAGATCGATCAGATCGATCAGATAGAGAAGATAGAGAAGATAGAGAAGATAGGGAAGATAGGGAAGATAGAGAAGATAGAGAAGATAGAGAAGATAGAGAAGATAGAGAAGATAGAGAAGATAGATAAGATAGAAAAGATAGATAAGATAGAAAAGATAGATAAGATAGATAAGATAGATAAGATAGATAAGATAGATAAGATAGATAGATAAGATAGATAGATAAGATAGATAGATATAAGATAAGATAAGATAAGATAAGATAAGATAGATAGATAGATAGATTAGATAGATAGGATAGATTAGATAGATAGGATAGATAGGATAGATAGGATAGATAGGATAGATAGGATCGATAGGATCGATAGGATCGATAGGATCGATAGGATCGATAGGATCGATAGGATCGATAGGATCGATAGGATCGATAGGATCGATAGGATCGGATAGGATCGATAGGATCGATAGGATGGATAGGATGGATAGGATGGATAGGATCGATAGGATGGATAGGATGGATAGGATGGATAGGATGGATAGGATGGATAGGATAGATAGGATGGATAGGATAGATAGGATAGATAGGATAGATAGGATAGATAGGATAGATAGGATAGATAGGATAGATAGGATAGATAGGATAGATAGGATAGATAGGATAGATAGGATAGATAGGAAAGATAGGATAGATAGGATAGATAGGATAGATAGGATAGATAGGATAGATAGGATAGATAGGATAGATAGGATAGATAGGATAGATAGGATAGATAGGATAGATAGGATAGATAGGGTAGATAGGGTAGATAGGGTAGATAGGGTAGATAGGATAGATAGGGTAGATAGGGTAGATAGGGTAGATAGGATAGATAGGATAGATAGGATAGATAGGATAGATAGGATAGATAGGATAGATAGGATAGATAGGATAGATAGGATAGATAGGATAGATAGGATAGATAGGATAGATAGGATAGATAGGATAGATAGGAGAGATAGGAGAGATAGGAGAGATAGGATAGATAGGATAGATA